TAATTCTTTATATAAACATGTATATACATACATCCATGTTCATCCATATCTCAGCCAAACCTCACAATTACATATAATAACAACAACAAACATACACCCCATCAAAAGAAAGAAACAACAACAAAAGCATAACAGAAACACAACTAAACCCCCAGCATACTCACTAGAGTCTCCATCACAACATAATACATAACATATAATACATAATGATATTACAAAATACACTAACCCTCCCTCCCGAGGTCGTTAGAAATACATGTTACCACACCAATACACCAATAGAACTACTAGCATATCCTTACACACTAGCATATACGCACCTCTAATAGAAGAGCTACCTAGTATTGATCAGAAAAACTATCCTCACCCCTGAAATGGAGATGTTGCAAAAATTAAGCGATTTTCACCATTTAATACATACTTGTACTTACCCTATTCAATAAACAGCCTCCTACTTCACTTATTCTAGCAGCAAAAGAATTCCAACCATTACATTTAATCATCTTGTGAACAAACAATTGGAGTTATCATCTTCAATTTTATAGTATTAATGAATAAAATCTCCTGCAAGCTGGAATACTCAACATAAAACACTCCATGCTCTCTAGGAATATCAAATTCTGCCGAGCAACGCCTCATATAATAGAGGCCAGTTAGTACCTAACTGACCAATCCATTCATCGTGATAACCATATTCCTTTCATTCCTCATGCATCATACATTCAAATCATAACTTTGCATTTCATCGTCTCACATCAAGATCTTCTTCATCAGCCGGTTCAACCCGGACTAGAATCTCTTCTAATAATCCTTCGAGGAAAACATCCACATCTTTCCCCATACCCACTGGTTCCTGTTTGTCCCAATGGTCGATTTCTTTGCACACATGTGCAAGCTTATACACTAATTTTCGTAATTTTTCGTGAGCAGCTTGCGCTCTCTGCTGCTTTGGTGTAGCTCCAGTCGCTCGGAAAGCATGTTGTAAGCGATACTGACGTCGTTTGAGTGCTTCTTCAAGAGCAGGAAATATCACATCGTTCAATGCATCAAGTTCTCCCGTAGGACTAGTTGGGGCAGGTGAAGGCATAGATGATGGAGCTCTAGAAGATTGAGATGAAATGCTTTCCTGAGAAGGAGTATTGCGTAATTTCTTTGACGGTAATGCAGGTAATGGCTGCTGACCTGCCTGGCGTAGACTTATGTTTTGAAGCCCTGTAGGATGAGATGGTAATGGAAGTGGTTGTTGTTGTTGCTGCTGCTTCCGAGGCTCTGTATTAGGTACTTGATTTGGTAGTCTTTGTTGTAGTGGTTGAGGTTGGCCACTGCCGCGGAATGGAGGTATTTCAGGTAATTTAATAGGGGCGAGCTTTGGTAGTGACTGTTGTGTATAGGGCCGTGGTACTGCTGCAGGTGGTGTATTTTGATTTGTGTACTGTGCTGGCACTGGAGTGGTAGATGGGGGCATTCTCAACGGGGGAGGAGATTGTTCACCGAGTTTCAAAAAACCCATATCTTGCTGAAGTTGCTCTTGCAATGTACGATCGTAATCAGGAGATTCGGAAACCTGTCTATTTATATAGGTCGGCGCGACCATTCTGGGTGTTTCCAATCCTGGAGGTTTAAACTTTTCCGGCGACGATGGAAGAGGAATCTTGGTAGGGGACATTGGAGTCTGCATACTTGGAACAGGCCGTCTCTGTGGGGAAGGCTGCCTGGGTTGTGCGTCTACAGGAGAATTTGTTGCTTTGACAGTTTCAATACTTGACACATATCCAGACTCTTTCGTTTTCGAAGGCGACTGCTGTCGCGGACGCTCTGCATAATTGTCTTCGTCTGATGACGACCTCGATGCCCTTGCATTCGTGGCTGATTCACCCATAGTATTCAAACCCAACCTAACCATTTACTCTTCCACCAACCGGTCGGACCGTACCGAAATCCCACAAGTCTTCATTGACAGGTTTGGGTGGGGGTGCTTCCTCTCGTTCATTATCCGAGTCATCATCGTCACCCTTATGATGTACTGCCCACCGTTCGTATCTCTCTATCAACTCCGTCAAATATGAGGTTTTCTTGGCTCTTCGCACAAAAGGATGCTTCAGTAATTCTCTAGCAGAAGGACGTTCCCTTGGGTCTCGTTGAAGGCACAATTCGACAAATTCTTTGAAAGCTTTTGTAAAGTTCCCTTCCAACTTTGGTGGAGCATTTTTTGGAATGAGAAACAAAACTTTCATTGGATGGATATCGGAGTATGGAGGTTCGCCATTCGCTAGTTCGAGCGCTGTAATGCCCAGAGACCATATATCCGCTTTGTGATCATATCCAGATTGCTTGATAACCTCCGGGGCCATCCAGAAGGGTGTTCCAACAAATGTATTCTTCTTAGTCATGGTAGCAGACAATTGACCCGAAACACCAAAATCTGCCAGCTTGACTTGTCCATTGGCGCCTAGTAAAACATTGGCAGCTATCCCCTCAATGTTAGCTCCTCAGATCCGAAACCAAGCTATCAGAGGAAAATTGCGCGAACCTTTGATATCTCTGTGAAGCTTCTTATCCCCATGAAGATAATCCAAGCCTAGTAGAAGTTCCCGTATGATAATTGAAATATATTCCTCCTGTATCAAACCCGGCTTCATCAAGTCTCCACAGCTACCACCCGAACAAAACTCCATAACGATCCAAAGATCTGAACCTCTCAGATATGATCCATAATATTGCGTAACGAACGGGGAATGTAACTCGGAAAGAATGGAGATCTCTTGAATAATATCTTCGACTTCATCTTCGGCATTCTCGACATCGATAACTTTTATTGCTACAGCCTGCCCAGTGCGCTTGTCAACTCTGTTGGAGATCAGTAAATGGCCTATGTGGAGAATTGGATTCGCGATTGACAGATTGAAGAAAACATACCCTTTGTAAACCTTACCAAAACTACCACCACCTATAAAAATGAGCCTCTACACGGAGTTATAAAAGTATGTGTAGACATACCGATGCAGTTCTGCTTTGTGTACAAAGTCTCAGGATCCACGACACCACTCATCTCATGCGTCATCCTTCGAAATCAAACTCGATATAATTAGGAAAGAGAAATGGGACAACACCACTTCCGATGTCAGGTTGTGTTGTCGGTTTGTTGTCCGAGTTTTACTGGGAGCACCCCGCTGATATTTTGTAGCTCTCTCAACCCAGGGAGGGATCGCGGAAGTGAATTGACTTGGCCTATGATCCGAGGTGAGATATCAAACACGAGTCAGAATATTTTCCGTTATCGTCTGATATACCAACAACGGAAAGAAATTCGTCGGTTTCTTCCCTCTGCGAAAGTGCAAATTATACAAGGGAATCGGGGGCCTGGACCAGGAACGCGGTGTACAGTATGGTATGGTGGGGTCAACAGCTACCGAGGGTGTATATCACTATCACTATATCAAATAGAGAGGAAAGAGATTGAATGTCGAAGCTTGTCGTGGTATCTGAAAATCGTGAATGTCGTAAACCTTTTGGCAAAAGGGGTAGAAAAATGATTGTGTATGAGTGGAAGAGAAGTAACAAGTCAAGCTATCTGTGAAGGAATGCAACTCTTGGGAAGTGGCATGTACGAACAGGAGTGCGGTTTCATTAATCTGGGGAAGGTAAGCACCATTGGCTGACTGTTGAGCAACAAATGCAGTTCACAAGTACGGGTGGTGGTCGATATGAAGGAGAGATGAAGAGAAGTCCGGTTTTGGAGATTTTGAGAATTGTGACTTCTTCTCAGATTTCCTTCTCAGATGCAATCTTAAATTTGATACTAAGGTGAAATCTCGAGCATTCTCTAGGAACAGTAGAAATTGTAGAAGATGGATACATTTTAACCTACCTAGTGCGTTTACGTTTGTGTGATTGCTTATTTTCATGAGCGGACTTACTTATCTTTGTTGTCATGTTGATTTATCACGCATCTTGTCTACCAGCCAACCAGTTCAATCAGCCAATCCTCTTGAGTAAAGGTTAAATTGAACCCATCCACTTCGCCAAACATCAACAATTTCAGGGGTTGATAACGGTAGCGTGTCGACCCAGCGCTTCCGGATTCTTTTTTTTCGTGAACCTGCATGAACGATGGACCGTTTCAAGCTTTAGGTAGATTATTCGAATGCATTTCATCATATTGCATTGGTGCTGTGAATGCTGATTCTAACCTAGTATATCGGACTGAAATTCACATGATTCAAAAGAGGCACCGGTACTAACTAGCTAGCTTGAAACTAGGTGTATGAGATCTACTTGCATGTCACAACCATCATTCGATCCCTCGAGCATATCAAACTTATTTCTAACCATTCGGGATCGACAAGAACTTCACTGCTACCCGGAAAATAGTGTAATGTCATTGCACATCATTTTATCAATATCATGATATTCTCGTTTCTCATTCTCATAAATCTATAGCCCAGCAGTCCTATTTTCCTTGCTGGTAAGCCCCGTCTATGCACAATGTGAGATAGAACTCATATGCGAAAAGAAGAAAAGTGAAATTATCCTCCCAATACGCTATTCTTGATTGGAAATCATAGGCTGGCCTCGAGGAAACTAGGCATATTATTCCACATACAATGTGAATAGCCCATTATTACGTCAAACTGTGATGCAAGCAATCCATTTGGTATCACCGATCCCCGAAAATTTGAAACAAACCTCAGTCCTCGATAAACTCCACCATCACAGTACCATTATTGAGTCCTGCAACTTTAACCGTTTCGTCCAAGGAATCTATCAAATCTTTGCCAGCGCTTCTGAGCTCAAAAGGGACCCCTGCTTTGCCCTCCAATGGTTCCGATTTTAGCCATTCGTAGATACGGCGTACTGTATCGTCAAGTCTAAATCTATGAACAATACGACCGTTGGCGTGTCTGAACTGGATGCGCGTGCTTTCCGAAAGAGGGCCTTCGGGTTCCATATGTGGTCTGTCGGAAGCAATCTGAGAAAATGGGGAGGCTGATTCGCTAGAGGTATTTTGAGAGGGCTCGGCTGCCTCTGAAGTTTGCTCCTCAACCTCTTTACCCTTTCCTTTGCTAACATCACCGAAGCTCTTTGTGAGATCATCTGGATCATCCGCTTTAGGCCCACTCGTTCCGTTGTTCGCGAGACTATTTTGCAATGCTAGGTTAAGCATCTCCTCCTCAGTGAGCTTAGTGACGTCTAGCGACTTTGACTTCTCCGGTTTTCGTCTCGCAACTGGATTTTTCTTGGAAAGATCGAGACTATATCGATCTAGAAACTCAACCAATTGCATGAGGAATTCTGCAGCTTTTGGTACTGGAGGTCCTGACCAAACCTTTACCTGCTCACCAGTTCTTGGATCAACGATAGCAATGTGAGGATATGCAGCATCACTATCTTTCTGTGGAAAGTAGTACTGAATGTATTGGTTCCCTCTGGGGTCATCCTTGGAATATTGCATGAATATGAAATTCTCCTTCACGACATCTTTGATGCCAGGGTCTTTCCATATATCGCGATTTAATGACTGGCAATCGAAGATAGAGTTGTCTTGTATATTGACTAAAATCCATTTTCCAGACTCTTTTCCCTCCTCGCGAGCCGAATCCCAAGGCAACTTGTACATTAGGTCGAATGGTGGTCTGAAGAGTTCCGCAAGGCGGGCATTCTTACTAGATCCTTCCAAAGCTCCTCCAGTAGCCTGTGCCAACCCATCGTGTTCCTGGTCCCAGATCGACGGAACGGCTCGTTGGTTGAAAATTCCCGTTCGGGCTGGTTACTGTTAGCACATAGGACGTAAAAATGTTAACAACTCCTCCTTACCTGAGCCTCCACCTCCAAGCGCTCTAGCTTGTTGTCGGAGTCTCAATTGCTCAAAAACACTATTGTGTACATCATCACCCTCATCCCAGCCTCCTGTGCCACCAACAAGTGTCTCCGTCGTTCTCGCAATAGGTGCTCTTACTCCTTCTGCATCGAAACCGCCACTTGCATCTCCACCAGCATAAAGCTCTTCTTGCATTCTCCGCGCCATAGCAGCATCATCCTCTACTTCCGCCGCGCGTGCAATAGCGGCAGCTGTTGCGGCATCAGAGTCTTCCTCATCAACGTTGTCATTATCCACTTCCATATCATCGTCGGAATCCAAATTTACCACCACTGATGAATTTTGCTGGGCACGAGCCGTGGATCTTTGTGGTCTGGTAGAAGTAGGTATTTGTGGTGGCGCTTGGTGAGAAGTATCATTATTGCTGTTGGCGAGTTCAGGTGCTTCAAAGAATAATCCTATTGCCTGTTCATAGTTGTTGTCGGTCATTCCCAGATACTGTCTTGCCACAGCTTCTGTTTGCCCTGTGATGGACGTAAAAGCTTCGACAGGATCATCCATGATGAAGTATCGGTCGCGGAAGAGTTGATTGTATTCGTATTTTTGTTTGCAGTGAGGAAGATTAGTTTATGTTATGTTGATTCGAAATGGCAGAAAGATGTTTGCTTTTGATTGCGGGAATGAAGGTGGGTCGAATACAGAGGCTGAAAGTACAAAGATGAGAAAATGAATTGTGCTTCGAGGTTGTTGATCGTAAGGTTGTTTTATTTATTAGAACTGGTGCGTACAGCTCGTATGGCTCAACTTCACAGATGAAATAGTCGTGGTGACTTGAACTGATACAGCTTCTCTTGTACAAATGAATAGGAATCAATGTTTCTTCATCGTCATGCGAATTTCGATACCGTTCGAAATCGTCACCCCTCTGTAACCTGATGATTACATAAGGCAGCGGGGCAAAAGTATCCAATCACAACGCATAGAATGTTTGCAGCAACCAGCCTTTTGAAACAAGGCTGAGTCTATTAATAGTTCATGCGTTACTTTTGTCATTGTTGATGATGTAGATGATGACGTTCAATATTTAATATTTGTTCATTGTTGTCTTATCCATATAACTAACTCCAAGGTCAATAACACTCGGAGCCAAACTATTCCATTGTCCACAACTATTTGACTAAAGACGCCAACTTATCGAAGCACAAAGCGGTACCCGTTAACAGTGTTACAAGCACATAGTAATTAATTGCTCTCCACTAGACTCCAATTCTTCTATTCAATTGATACACAAATGATTCCCAGTCTAAGCAATCGCAGTTTCCTGCTTTTCACATATTTTTGCCAGTAACTCCCTCTGCTTTTGGTGGTAGCCAAAACTTGTCTCATCCAATCTGTTAATGATCTCGAGAGCAAATTATTTCTATTCTTTGACTTTGGGTGCTATGCCCGCTATAAATACAAGGAACACTTTGAATCGGCACTCGAGACGTCCCAAATCTAGCATCATTTTTGCTATCAGAGTTATCTCTCTGCACATGAAGCGATTTATTCTGCCGCCTCTGCTGCTGGTATCAATGATTGACCTGGGAACATACATGTGTGGTGGTAAATTAGGCAGGCTTGATAAAACAAGTGAATATAACTCCATCAGTGAATTCTCTTCTGCATTATCCAGGGGAAACTAACATGTGTTCTTCATATGAATGTTCCATCTGGGAGTTGTGTCAGTTTCCCAATCTTATCCGTGTCGGGCTTTGCAAATTCTAGAACTGAAAGCTAAGTGTCGTGAAAGCCAACTCGAAGCGTATGCGTATCTCGTATGTAGTTGCACCGATGCATGATAATTTCAAGTCTTGGCTTTAAGAGGTCTTGAGCTTCAACTCTCAATTCCCACGCCATCTGTGCTATCTCAATGGCAACCAGAGTCAGCTCTCGATGAGTCCTTAGCAGATCGGGCATCTGACGCATCTGGATCAAAACCATGTGAAGTCTGTCATCTCTTAGAGCCTACTACCATCTAGACAGGCTCTAAGAAATGAAAGCCTTCACCGAATGACCTTTTGGTAGTGCTTTCTTAAGTGATATCAGCTCCCAATGCCGACTTCGGGAGGGCATCCAAGCTTGGAAACGTCCAGACATAAACGATGTACCAGTTAATTAGCCTCCCACAAAACCACTCGATGTAGAAAGTACGCCCTGCGTACATGTGTACGTGCCGGCTCTAGCACGCGTCAAAATTCTGTGACTTAGGGCGGAATTGGACAATTCTTCTGAATCCAAATAAAGTATGTTGTAAGAAACCTACAGATTAGATACTAAATGAAACTTCATAATGAATTCTGAATTGGTAATGTGACACCCACATCTTTGTAACATCAATGGTTCAGAAGATTGAGCTTATGTTGGACGCCATACTAGTCGTGGTCAAGGAGGACATTGAACCAGAAAGTTGACGATTCTTCAGAGAAAGCTCTGCAGCTAAATCCCATTTATATCCTAGTATGCATAATAATTTCCCCTCAGCCCAAAATGAAGATAAAGCAGTAAGTTGACTGTTGACTCACGACCACTTGTCCACCCCCCCACCCCCCCAACACAACGTAAGTAGTTACCGGTACCGGTATAGGTTAAACTCGATAAATCGGCAAAGGGGAGAGAGAATAATGTAAGCCATGTATGGATAATTTACCTGTGTCAATTTCTCACATCATCTTGAAGTTATGATGATTGAAGCTTGATGAATGTAGAGGATGTGAGAATTGACTCGAAATAGTTAAACCTCAAATAATGATACAGATGCTTGTTTTCAAAAGATGGTGGTGCAATATGAATACAGATTCAAGAAGTCCTACTAAAGTGCTTACATAATTCCAAACAAAAAACCAAGGTTGCAAAAAAAAAAAAGCCTAAGGCACCCATCCCATACAGCCACAAAAGAAATCCACCAATCCCAAACCAGCTTAGCCCTCCTCACTAGCTTCCCCCCAAAAATTCCCACAATATAAGAAAAATTTCCCAGCGCAAACGAATTTCTTTTCTTCTTCAACTTATTTTTTAAGTGCGGCTTGGTACCTCGTGTTTTTCGCGCATCTTCTCCGCCATGATGTAAACGAGTGTCAATGGTACCATAGATTGATCCCAATTGCAGCCGATGCTCTCTCTTTCACCTCTTTCCGCGGGTTTCGAAACTTCGCGATTCGCGAATCCAGGCTGTGTTCGTCGGTTTGTCTGAAAGGGCCCAACGGATAACGGTTGGTGGGTGAGAGGATGGAGAGGGTTCGGACATTCTTTGTTTATACTATGTTGGTTCTAGGGCTGGAGAAAGAGTTGGTGACTTTGGAAAGGTGTCGAACTGTCAGTCGCATCTGTCTGGTGGTATTTGAGGGCACAGTTTGCGCTGGGGTAATGTTGTTCTGATTTACACTTACGAGCCCCGCGTGGGATAATACTCAAAACACACTCAATGTAATCTATGTAATCTTTTATTTCAACTTCAATTGTTACCATCCATTTGTAATTATAACTGTCAACGTGAGAGGTCTTGCGGAAAGGAAAAAGAGTATTCCCATAATGGCGTTTATAAACCTTATTGATATCAAATGCAATGCACGACAAAAGTACCACAAAAAGGCACATCTGCTAACGCCATCCTATGCCTATCATCATGTAACTGTAACGCTCGTCGTCATAAAACAAATCATACTTCGTTAACCCTTAATGGCCATCATCGATCTTCTCCAGCTTTCCTGGATCGCGCTTTTCACCAGTTTCTCCAATAATTCTAATGCGATCAAGGCGCACTTTCTCTCCATCTCCATCACCATCAACGATGAAGAAAACCAAGCTTGTAACATTTTGGAACTTGACAAAGCGAAGCGATAATGTAGCAGTTCCAGTTGAATCCCAATCATTAGCTTCCAGTGTAATAGTTTGTGTGGAAGGAAGATCATCAGCCTCGTCGAAACCAACAATGTGAGCTCGGTTTGTGTAAATCTGGATGGTTTTTGGTCGCATTGGCACTTCTTCGTCGTCCTCGTCATCGGTTGCTGAAGGTAGGGACGTGATCTGGAGAATTGAAGGTCAGCACTAATACTAGAGAGATTTGCGCAACTGATGAATTCCTCTTACCTGAACAGTATGAACCTTTAAAGTAGATTGGAATGGCACGAACAACATTAGCTGCTCATCCGTATCACTGACAACCCAGTCCTTTGCCTTCGAATCTGCTCCCTTTCCCTTCGACAAAGCGCTAGGCTTGTTCGTGTCAACCAATGTTCGTACACCCCCGAACTCACTGTCGGCATTCAACAGTTCGAGACCCTTGATATCAACCTGATCAGTCACATCGCTGTAACCCTTTGGTAAAGCGCCTGTACGCCAATCGCCAGAACCACTTGCAAATCCTGACGATGAATCGTCTGATTTATCTGCTTCTGCAGCTAACTTTTTCACAATATCTTGCAGTCTGTTTGGATCGGCACCTTGGACTTTCTCGACTTGTTTGCCCTTCCTAAAGATTATGAAAGTTGGCATCCTGTTGGATTCGTATTAGCAATAGCTTTTATAGAAATACTTAGTGGCTTGATCCTCCAAGATTCAAAACGTGCTATTGAAGGAAGACGCACGCAGTGACACCATAGGTGGAAGCAATCTCTGTCTGATTGTCGACATTAACCTTGGTAAATGTAATCCTATTTGGACGAGATAGCTGTGCAGAAAGCTGCTCGTAGATAGGCGCAATAGCTTTGCATGGTCCACACCAGTCCGCATAAACTATTGGTAAGGTAGAGTATCAGTAAGAGCAATAAGAGTTTGTAGTAGTCGCATATTGTTGGAGGGGCAAGGAGTCGTAATGGGAGGGGCTTTCCGCGGGGTAGCTTACAATCTGTTACAACAATTTTAGAGGTCTTCAGTAAGTTACTGAATTCCGCTGGTGACTTTATAACAACAGTTTTAGACATCTTTTCTAGTGTCAAGGAGTTGCTGAACTGATGGACAAGAATTGTATCGAAATGTATTGGAGCCGGCTATTGCCGCTGGGTTGGAAATCAATTTCAGGTCATGTGACGTAAAACGAGTATTCCCGTCTCCCTGTCCTATTTCAGAATTACCCGAGTGACAGTTACTTGATATCGTAGAATGAGTATTAGTCAACTTTTCCTTTACACTTTCCTAATTAGACCGAGACTTTTATTCCAATGTTTATTTCTCACGGCTAGTGCTTGTACTGTTATACTTTTACATAATTTCACTTTCTTAGTAGTTTAGAATCTTTGAAACTCATCAGATAATGTATTTTGCGCCTTCACAGTGCACGTTTATATCCCCGGATTGGGTCAACTGCAGCTCTAATAAAATGGCTTGATCTTGTGCAGGTAACTCTGGGACGTATTCGGAGCTTTCATTTTCAAACAGAGAGGCTCAGCTCCGTACACTAGACTTTAAACTTTCTTGGTATAACGCATATAAACACTTGGGTACTCTAGCAAGCTACCTGCTACCATGACAATGGTTACGAACCCGAATTCTTAGCCGAGTCTCCACGCTTTGAGCACAAGCTCTCCCTGAGTGTTTGGATATCCTGATGTTCCTATGGAGGCGACTGCTCGACTTATTTTTCTATCGACTCAATTGGCTTTGAGTTTATTCTTCGTCAATTCACATGTGAACTAGACTCCAAGTTATTTTGAAAGATCTAGTGAAAGTTAAAGAATTAAGGTCGAAGCATATTTGTAGCAAACCATGGACAAAGTAAGAGGACATTTAGAGGCCTCGAAAGTTGTTTGCTTCAGTTGGCGGTATGTATCTTTAATTCCTCATTTGGCTTGAGCTAAACATTCATGTCAGTTTAGGAGAAGTGGTTTACCCTGGAAGGAAAGTACAACGACGTGATGTACGACGACCTCGCCAGCTCTTCCTGTGGGTCTGGCAATGTACGGCCGTGTGATTACATCCACAACGTATTAAACATTGCGGTAGTAATGACATCGGCTTAGGATTCCTCATGCTACCCGGGAGATGCATCTTTCAGCTGAAGAGATATCTTGATATTTTAAAGGGGACCCAAAGAGCGAAGATCATAACGTAAGTCTAAAATCTTGAGGCTTATTAGAAAGGATTCACAGCTTAATAGTGCATGCAGACCCAACTACAGTCTACAATGCTCCACTCGTCATCTCAAATTGTAAGACAATATTGCAAGGTGACCTCATCAAGGTTGATGCGGAGGCTAGCATTAGCAATGTCAATCCTAAAATTTGCTCTCGGTCCTTACATCTGAAGACTGTATCCAATCCGACAGAAAGAACCGCCCTGGACGGCCCACTGATGATAGACACCTTTTATCTCCGATATCACAATCACAAATCAAGTAAACTGGTTTCGACTTTCCTCAATTTATTTGAGTTCCTGCGGCTAGGAAACAGAACGGCTGAATCCATGGGCCAGAAATCACATGGTGGTCATGGTCATTGGATCACTAAATGGATTGACCATAGATTTCTTCTTATGGGTATCTCAATACACAACTTTGTGACGGGAGGTATACTCTCAACACAAGAATGATAATACTGCCAAGGCCATAGCATTTATTCCCGATTGTAATATGGGCTGTATTTCTGGCGCGTTGAAAGGCGAATGATTGACTATAATTTCAGCATCTTTGATTTTAGTGCCATCAAAGCCATTAGGCGTGATGCACGTCGTAAGGTCCTTGGAGAGTAGAGAAATCTTCGGTCACTTTCGTTATTGCCATATCCAACAAGTCGGATTGGGAAAAGGAAGAAAATGCGTCTTGTATAGGCTCCGCAATAGATTGAGAATCACTTGTGAGTGGAGCACGTATTCGAGAGTCAACGATGGGTGACCTAGATGGTCTCAAAGCTATACACTCGGCTTCAATTGTCTTTTTCAATGATAGGCGGGAGATTATCTCGAACAGCGGGTTTCACTGTCTTGACGTCTAAGAGGAGATCGCGGCGTGAAAACAAAAGTCTGCTCAAGGAACTCCAGCATGGAATTTCTAGCAAGCAACTGTTGCGACCTCAGTTGTTGATTGACTTCTTTGCAGACAGAATGCTGCAGCCTTAGCAAAACTTCCATCCCAATTCCGGTCAGATCCTCGCACAATTGTGAATTGACTCCTGGGCATGGCGCACTGAAAATTCACACATAAAGAGCATCTGCAGTCAGGAGAACCGGCTGGAACGGATCACTACTCGCCCAACTTATAAAGGCGTTAAATCTTATGGGAGGATAATATCCGAGACGGGTATATGGAATCCAGACTATCCGTAACCATTACTGACGCCCTCCATTTTCGTCTTCATCTGGCTAGAAAAGTATAATGGGTGTGCCACTCCAAACGCATGTAGATTCACTAATGATAGCAGCTATGTCTATATCATGATCACATGCACGCATAACTGGTCGTTTGTGTCCATATCAGTCCACCATTTCTTTGTTACTTGCATACGGGAGACTCGTTTGCTCAAGGGTATGCAAATGCACCTAGTTCAGCTCTGATGAACACCACCTCACTTGAACCATTTTCAAGTAACCCAAGAATTTTACGGCGTCTAATATCTGGAAGTACAGAAAATTGAGAACTTCCAGGTGAGATACCACAACGGCTGTCGCTCGGGACTTCAAACCAAACAGCTCTGGGTACTGATGAATATCTCGATGAGAATATTCACAGACTGTGAGGCTTGGTTGGTATCGGTGAATCACATAGGCAAGGTTTGTACTTGAATTGTCCATTTGGCTCGCTAACGATCTCTACAGGAGTAAACAGAAATATCGAGTTCAATCTAGTTGAGCATCCACTAAGAATTCGTGGGTTGTTAACCTAGGGGATCTATTCGTCAAAAAAGCAAGACAGATCTATTCTCTAGTGAAAGGTATATGTATGCATATGCTTGATGAACAAAACAATTTCACAAATACTTTCTTTACCGAGTGACTAGACCCATTATCTCGAGGCCACTGCAGTAAAATTCCTGGAAATAGATTTCCTCGATGAGATGGGTATTGCATATGCCGTCAAAGATTTTGCCGACCAGCGTCTTGATGTCCTCTGGTCTGGAAAACGACTTCAGTATTGATTCGACTTCTATTTGTGATTTGTTACGGATAATATGCGGATCGCTTCTTCATTGCATTATTGATAGAGTGATGATTAGACTCGAGAAACAAATCAAACCTGGTATATGTGTATATGTTTGTATTGGGTTTCTTGAGACCAGAAAGAGCATCAGATTGAATTGATTCTCTAGCTAAGCAGTTAAGCTGCGAGTATATATTCAAAAAAAAATGAAGGAATAAGGTTAGGTATTCAGCCTTCGGAATTAAAGTGCTTTGAAATCAAAATATTGAAAGCAAACAAACAGTATACCAAAAAGGAAAGAATGAATTAAAAGTTGAGTTTTGTTTGCTCCTTATATGCATCATGCAATATATGCATATGCTGCCAAGATCCCAGGAGGTCAACAGTTTGTCTCAGACTTCTCATACAAACAGATATTCTAGGATTAAGTAAGATTATATATTCAACACTCTAGATAATGGACAATCTTATTGGCTTCAGAAGTGTATAATTCATGAATCATTATAGACATAATTCTTACAGCGCTGATTATGTATCCGATATTGCTCCGCTGTAGTCCTTACACCATAGTTATCCCATATCCTCATCATTCGTCGTTATAGAAACATGCATACGCGCCGCTGCTATACCATCTCGTTCCAGTACTGAGAAAATCTCATCATACTACTCCAGATCTAACGATGTACCAGCCATCAATCTCATCCATCAATGCCATCCACCAAGAATCCCACAAACAAGACAAATCAACTCCTCTGTCCATTTTCTCCCATCCCATCATTCTTCCCCAATAGCTTAGCCGCTCTTTCTAACCTATTCCTCCTTTCCCTCAACCCACCCCTAACACTCTCCTCACTCCCAACAAGCTCCATACTACTTCTCCTATCAACATCCCCATCTTTCTCCCCTAAATCTCTTCTCCCTCCAACCTCATCCACATCCCTACTCTTAACCGTATACATCCCCGTTCTTTCCACTTCTTTCTTCACCAAGCCCAATCTTCTCCCTATACTCATACTTTTCCCGCTTTCACTTCCACTTCCATCATTGCCAGCACCACTTCCACTACCTCCATACCCCAACCCTAACATCCTCCTCCAAAAACCCACTGGTCGCACAACAGGTGCACTCCACCCCACATCTTCTAGGCCCGTCCTACCCGATTGCGACGATGATTGTGATTCGACTTCGCTGCGCCAGATTTCGATTCGATTCCGTGATATATCTGGCATTTTGATTGATTATAAGATTATATTATAACCTTATTATCGCTCGAAAACTCTCCGACTTATGATTTCGATTTGATTTCAATTTCAATCTCGGTTTCGATGAATGATCAAAGAGACGAAAGTAAGATGAAATAAATTCCACATCTCGAATTATTTCAGAAACAGAGAATCTTTGTTTTTGAAGATGAATCTGAAATATAGTAATGGTAATAGTAATAATGAATTATCAAGGTCAGCTGTCTACTTATTTGCGAGCTGATGAATGCGGATGATAAGTGCTGAATGAGGATGCGTAGTGAATAGAAGGTGTGTGGGAATGCAGTGTGAGCTTCGTGAATGAGTTGTGCTAGATTGTTTAAATTGAAGGGGTGTGCTGAGGTATAAATGGTTGGAATGGTCGTGGAGGCTTTGTCTGGCTTTCTTTTGGCTTTTTTCGTTTGGGAGGAGGCAGATGATCAGTTATTGATGGTAGTGCCGAGCTCGCTTCGGTTCGAGGTGTTTGGTTGGGAATGTCATGTCGTGTTCTTGTGTTGCGTTATGTCCTTTTTGTTTTTTTGTATTGTTTTGTGTAAATTTTTTTGTTGGAGTTGTTTGATGATGAATATATCACTTCATATCAGAATTCGTAATTCTTCATTCTCCAAGTGGAATTGGAGTATCTGATATCGATATCTGGTCGCCATTAATATTTCCCTCTGCGCGAGAATTTCAGGGGCGATGTATTAAGACAGTTACTGCGATCTCTAATGATGACATTAGTCGTGTCTCATTATGGATTTGTATATTATATCAGATTGAATGAGATCAGATTTATGGCTCGATCTTAATCAGCCTCATCTAGATACAGTGTCATGAACTACTTTAAATGTCGACACTAACAGAACTAACTACATCTAAGTCCATTCCTAATTTTTTTTAGTTTTCCACACTTTGCAAGTCAAACATTTAATTTTCTGAAAAATCCACTCTATTTCCCTTCATTTACATCTCCAACACAAAATCAAAATCAAAAAGAAAAGAGAAAAGAACAACATAAACTCCATCCGAACTCAACAGCACCCTCATTAATATTTCAAACCCAACCGAATACATCAAAAAGAAAATCGACACACCCTCACTGGCATTTCCACTCCAACCATCCCACGATATAAAACCCAAAAATGAGTCCAAAAATCCTCAAAACCTGGAGCGAACTAACCAACCCCAAACAACCCTTAACAAGCGACCGCCTACAACTCATCTTCCTCTTCAGCATCCTCGCAAGCATTATCCTCGTCCTAGCCGATCTCACATGGCATCACTACCATGTACAAAGTTGGGCTGCCAGCAGCGAAGCGGAAATCTACGCACGGCTTATAAATACTTATTTGGATATAAAGCGTGATGGGTTCTTGCACTGGGCTGGAAATCTTTGTCTTAGGTGTTGTGTTTTGTTTTGGGGATTGTTGGGTGTGCGTTTTAAGTCGTCGGTTCAGTTTGCTGAGGTGGTTGTTGAATATGAGGAGGAGGTTCTGAGTGACGGGGATGAGGAAGAGGAAGAGGGAGAGGGAGAGGCTCTGAGTGAGGAGGATGAGGATATGGATACGTTGTGGGTGAAAATAACTTTACGAGAGCACATGTATGGAAATTGAATCGTACGAGATTCGTAGGATGAAGATGAGGATGAATATGATGTACAAAGGAGTTCGGGGATTATATGAGGAGCCCACACAAACAAAAAGGATTTTGGCGGGACGAATGTAAAGATTGGACTTTGGAGTAAAATTGGTTGACTGGGCGGGCAAGTGGCTGGATTAGATGACCGAGCTATAGATGTATGAGATGTATTCATCAAAAGCTATGTGCATTTGTAATGAATATATGTCGATGTGCATATAGTGTTGGGAAATAGTCATCAAAGATACATTCAGAAATCATAAAGTATTGAGCTATTTCATATTAACACTTGTGAGTGAACATCCCGATTTAAAATCTTTTTTATAAGTACACATCATTGAATCATTGGCGTAGATTCCGCTGCCTGTCATATCAATTTCATGACCCTTTCCTCAACTAGAGACTCCCTATCCACCTTCACATACTCTCACATCCTCCCCTCATAACCAATCACCCTCCCCATCATCATCCTCCCCATCATCTTCCCGAAACCCCTCCATCCCAAACGCTCCCCAAACCCCAAACCCTGCCGGTACCCCCCACCACCCCCACACCCCCCTCATTTTCCACAACGCTAAACACCCTGCAGCAACCATCCCACCCAAAACCACCTCCTTAACCACGACCTTAATCCTCTCCTTACTCTTCTCCTCCTTCCACATCAAAGTCCCTATTGGAGTTCTCGTTCCTCTCATCCTAGCCCTCCGTTCCCACCTCAAATTTTTCCTCTTCGATCTCCGCTTACAGGATTCACAGCGGCGATCCCGAGGACTAATTTGAGAAGATGGCGGTGCGTTTTCTAAATCTCGGATTAGGAAGTTGGTGCAGGCGCATTGGTGGAACATGGTTGCGGAGGCACGGGTCATGAAGAGGAGGAGGAGCCAGCCGCTGCGTTTGAGGATGTAGTTGTCTGTGTCGGGCATGGTTGTTGGAGTGGTTTGGAAGTTGGAGGGTTGAGGGTTGAGTTGAGGCGTACACTATGATGATGGCTTTTTTCCTCACGAGGTTTTCTATTTCTGACCAGAGAAATTGCAGTGCTGCTGATGATATGTTGAAACCTCGATGATGAATATCTAACCCAATTGTGAATTTGCACTCTGACTAAAATTCCAACCACAAAGAAGAGGGGATTCCAGACTCTTAAATCTTAATATATCAAATCACCCTTGAGATAAAATCTAGCGCAGAAAACTCCAGAACCTAGACCAGGTATCCAAAACCGAAAATTGTATTTGGATAAAGCTTGATATGCAGAGGAGCATGACAAAACACCTGATGATGAAAATGATGACTAAGCATATAATTAATCATGCAGGTATGTATCTGTTTCTCTCCACCATTCCATTGAACATCGCATAAAGCCAAACATTCCCTGGTAATTATTATTTTTCGACTACGACTACTATCATCAGGATATATATCCAGTATCCCAAATTCCCAATTCATGAACTACATACCTGACCTATTTTAGTTCTCCTTTCCTAATCCCATCTCATCTCCATCCCCACCCACAACTTCCCCTTCTCCACACCTTACACCCTACAAATCTAAATCTAAATCCAAATACTTAACCCGCTCTTTCTCTAATCCAATATCAAATTACCTCTTGATATTAATCAAAACCTTATAATATATAACACATATAATCCATCCACCTCCTACAAGCCCTAGCTCTTAATATAACCCTCCTCAAGGTAAGATCTCATCTTGCTCAATAACAAAAAAGTCGATAAAAGCAAAGAATACTTAGATGATTCAAGTTAATCCCCCTCTAACATCCATCCATTCAGTGACTCTTCATACCTATTAAAAGTAAGGTTATCAGGTATATTTCGCTCACAACAACAATCACAAACCATAAACCCCAAGTCAAAAATCACAGTTACAAATCACAAATCACAAATCACACAAACCATCCAACAACTATCCATCCCCAGACATCAAGATCTCAGATCTCAGATCCCAGATCTCAGAGTTTAAATTTCAGATTTCAGAAATTATACATTCAAAAAGGTACCCAAATCTTTTCCCAGTTAATGCTCCTTTACCGTTTCCCATTTCCCCTCAGAACAGCTATAGCTAAGAGGTAGATAGGTAGCTAGGTTTAAGTAATCTCTATCCTGTCCATTCGCTCTACTGCATCTGTATCTGGATTCATACATCCATCCATCCATTTACTTGGATTTACAAACAAAGAAAAGACACGAAGAAAATATGCCATGTTCAGGCTGAATGATCCACCGCTTCCCTTTTCCCAAAAGATAGAGAGATACCCGACCCCATAAACGTACACCTTCACGCCATACTTTCGCTATGAAGTTCCCCAAAAAGAAACAGACCAGAAGGGAAAAGAGAAAAGAAATTTACAAAAAAAAGTTTCCATTCCAAACAACAGATTTTTTATTCCAATTCAATTCAAAATATTATATGAAGAACGCCATGCTATGCCTTCCAATCTAATATCTATCCTATCCATAGTATCCAGAGTTTCTCTGTCCTCCTTGCGTAGGTGGATATTGGGGAAAATATTGCTGTTGCTGCAAGTATTGCTGAGGAGTCCCTTGATACCCAGGTGAGTGAGCTAAAGTTGGTTGGTATTGTCCAGGTGAGTGTGCTAATGTTGGTTGATACTGTCCAGGTGAATGCGCCAAAGTTGGTTGATATTGACCAGGTGATTGTCCTGGCATTGACCAACTCCCAGCTTGAGGAAAGAGGTTTGCATTGGATCCCATCCATGACCCTCTTTTACTAGGTACTGCAAACTGTGAAGGTGAGAAATTGGTATTGGCATATTGCGACTGGCGACGAATGTGTTCAGTCTGTTGTTGCTGGCGACGACTTTGCTCGGCTTGCTGTTGCTGCAGACGAATATTTTCAGCTTGCTGTTGTTGGAGACGAATGTTTTCAGCTTGTTGTTGCTGGAGACGAATATTTTCAGCTTGTTGTTGCTCAAGTCGATGTTGTTCAGCTTGTTGTTGCTGCTCTAGTTGCTGTTGAGCTAACTGTTGCTGACGAAGCGCAATTGCATGTTGTACGGATTGAGAGTTGACTCCTTGCTTGACATACTGCTTCTCCTTCTCACGCGAATCAATAGCCCCGACGAGACCTGCAGAGACAATGTTATTTTTATTGTTGTCTTTAGCCATGGCGATCAGGGGTCCACCAGTCATTTTCGCAACAAATACTTGTTCTCGAGCAGAGAGATTTGTTGTAATGGTGCCATTCCCAGAAGTACCCAATGCTCTGGCCGCACCTCTGGAATTTGGACGCAGGAGATCTGCTGAACTATGGCGTGCATGCTGCTGTTGACCATATACCTCACCAGAATTCAACAAATCTGCCGAGCCGCGGCGAGAATGACGATTATGACCGTGACTTTCAGTAGAGTTCAACAAATCTGCTGAGCTATGGCGGGAATGCTGGCCTAAGAGTGTACTAGATCGCTTGGAAGCTTGATTTGGTGTAGGTGAAGGAGTATATCGTGCTGGAGTAGGGGAAGGTGAAGGACGTGCCGGAGTTGGAGAATGTGCACGTAGAATATTGCCAGAGTGTTGACGTTGGTGTACATACTGTGGCGTCGCTGCAGCAACCATAGAACGCTGTTGAACAAACTCCTCCGCGGTCAATCCTTGTTTGTGACCAAAGGTATTGTTAGCTGCAGCTGCACTCATTCCTGGTTGCCAAACAAGTACATTGCCACTCGGAGTTCTGTCATGACTTGGACGTTTTTCAGGACTGGGATTACTGAATCTATCCTGTTTGGGACTAGGACTTGGAGAATTCTGGCCTGGTGCTCGATTGAGATCAAAGGTAGGACCGAAATCAATATCGACCCCCTTTGACAATGTATTGTCGTCACCATAAAGTGGTTGACCAACTTCGACATTACCAATGATCTTCTTCCTACCTGCTCGCGGCTTTTCGACAGAGTTTTGCGTGCGTACAGATCGTACAGAATGGCTGGTACTGGCATAATCTGGGGTACCCGTCGATGCAGCGTCGTCATATGTACTGCTTAAATCACTATTGCGTCTATTCATCTGTGGAAGCTTGAAGTCGTCTTCTTTAGGGAGTATCAAATCATAAGCGCCTAGTTCAAGAATATGTTGGGTTAAGCTCCCACTGCTAGAAGCGGGTTGCGATGAAGTAGGACTTTGTTGGTTCTCTTGTTGTGTAGGAACGGGTTTTCTTGAAATGCTCTGGCTCGTCTGCAGACGAGGTGGCTGGTTCGATGGACTTTCTGGCGGGGGCATATCGTTTGAAAAATCCAATTGTGAGTTTGAATTAAAATGGTTGTTGCTAGATCGATGCTCTTGGCTTTGATAAGGCGTTTGATCGCGATTCGAAAGAAGAATTGAGTCTTCTTCGTTACGACGTTTGTAGGATGCTACCATGCCTTCATTAATGATGTTATGGTTAGCAGGCATATGGTGATTTCTGGTGACGTCTGACAGTACCCCTCTACCTTGATCTTCATCCTCCTCTATTCTATCATGCATTTGAACATTCGTTCCTCGCCTTTCTTGACCTTGTTGGTAAGTAGCCGCAGCGCCGGCTAATTGAGATAGTGTTGCGGTAGACATGCGATTGTTCGCTTTTCGAAGATCTGGTGATTGCAAAGTTTTACTGGGCGGCAATGCTCCGGGCGCGTGCCTGAAAGCTGGCGGTGCAGCTACAGGCTCTGGCAGTGTAACTGTTTGCAATTCTTGTAATTCACGAACCGGGGTTACATTAGCCGCTTGCTCATCCTCTGAACTGAGGCGCTCGGGCGAAGGTGCAGCATCTCGTGCATATAGGAGAGTTGGAATAGGAGCACGTTCATAAGCCCCGTCAAAGACGGGAGGAGTTTGGTTCTCTTGACGACTTGGTGGTTGAGATTCGGATGTTGACCTTTGGTGAGATGCTGAAGTATTCGATCGTTGAAATGCTATAGTACCAGCAGGTGCCGAATCAATCCTAGGAAGACCTCCATTGCTAACATCTCCCGACGCGCGAGGCCCAAATTGGATCGATGGTGAAGATCTAACCGACACTGTATCGTCAAACTGAAGGCGGGTTCGAGGATTTCCCGCACTGTTGCGACTCCTTCTACTGCCGTATTGGCTATTGGTTCGGCTATTGTTCTTGAGGGTTACCATTCGCTTGGCTGTCAAATCTTTCATTCTTTTTCTCCATTCAGATTCCAGCCAATTAGCGCTACCTTGCTCCGATATGAGACCCGCAACATCGAGAGTTTCCAAATAGTCATATCTTCGGTGTTCTGGCATTGCAAACATCAAACTCCTGGTGTCACTTGTTTCCGCGATCAAACGACCAGGACGCCCATAAAGTCCAAATGTATCGTAGACTGGGAAAAGCCACCGGAGCATCATCTCAAACCCACTTACGGCAGGATGTACCTCGGGCATGACGAAAACAAACCCTTCGGAGGTCAGAGGGGGATTTGAATGAATTGTGATGGAGCCCTCCACTTTGACTAAAGTGGAAGCATCTATGAGTGGTTTAGATTGAGGATAGATAGCAAACGCAGAATAGGCATCATTAATCGTAGCGATTGGTCGAGCCTTTTTCGTTTTCTTTGAATCAAAAAATTTGATGTTTCCTTTCAATATAGGTGGTCGGGAGCGATCATAGGCCGATCTCTTCTTTTGTGATTGCTTTTGCACTCTTTGGACCTCTTTTTCATCGGGTGGAGTGATCACGCACCAACATCGTCTCCAAGGTGTTCCAGCGCCAAATCTCACTCGAGCCCAATCTGCGCTCTGGATTCTTGCGCGCTCCATGATGGGTTTGATGTTGTTCAATAACTTACCCTTCCCAGCAATAAGCGCGCCTGTATATGCCTCTTGCAATGTAGCATGCTCATACATACAAAGACGGATACCGGCGGTCCATTGAACTAACGAATGATGTGAATTGAAGTGTAAGAGGTATCTATTCTTACCAGCCGTCGATATGCTGAGGACGTTTTGCAAAGGCGCTTCGGCAGGAGATCGAGTAGGAAGAGATTCAATCTATAAAATATCAGTAAACGAAACCATGGCCGTGTTCAGAGAAGTGAAAGTAACCATTTTGATCGAGGCATCTGTAAGATTGATGAATTTTGGAAGAACTTCTCCATCTTGCCCAGCAGCATCTAATTCTGCTGCATCCCATAATGAGAGGATGGTCCCCACAAGCTGTGCAAAACATTCCGTCCAGGTCCGGTCGACATTGGCTTTGCCATCTACGTAAGATTAGATCATAATGCTCTCCAAATGTAGAATATTGTACACACGTATGTTTTGATCATCCAATTTCAAGAAATAACCTTCCTGGTATAACTTGTTGCTATGACTGTTCAAAAATGTGAAGATAGGTTGTAGTTCTGGCAGCGTTTCTTGGTTGACATCCATCAATGGAGGCTGAAAGGTTTGTACAATAGACATAGGTCTGGACAAAGCTCGATCCCTTGATCGAGGAGGTTGAGAAGAATCGCGGACCTCACTAGAAGGAGAAACCTGATGGGAGGGCATTTGGAAATTCGAAGTCGGAAAGGGCTCCTTTCCGAAAGCTTGGGACGATATTCCTGACTCTTGTGACTCTTGTTTAGTGTAAGATTCCGTCCGACTTCGTGCTCTACCTGAGGATGGAGGGGTTCGAGCAGGACTGCTGGAGTCTCGATCCCGAAACTGGGACATGAACGACATAACTAAGGGGGAAAGAGCTATTTAGCAACCGGGTTGTCTGGTAAATATGGTGGCGCATTCCAACATACCTCGATTTCGGCCCATTTTGAAGGAATTAAATTGTTTTGAATGATAGCAAGCTGAGAGAGAAATTGATGAAGCGGTGATTCCGCAAGATCCGAATGGACCTTCAAGCTGTTGTGGTTGACTTATGACATATACAAATCTAAGTGTTTTGTTCTTTCCTTTGTCGGTCTGTTGATTATATAACAGTACAATGGTCCCAATAATAACAACCCAACGGCAAATGTTGAGTGGATTGCTGCAAACAGCAAGATAATTTGATCAAAAAAATGAAAAGAATGTGTATTTTTCAAAGTTGTTATCGAGGAATGATGAATAATTTGAGGGAAGTGCTATTGGAATAATCTATGGCGTACTATTTCATTAGTTCATGTACCTGTTTAGCATTTTGGATTTTTTTGGTTTGGCTGGATCTGGGGGGACTACCGGACGTCACTTTGGTGAGACCAGCAAATGATGAAGAATGATAGGCGGGAGGGCCGATTACCGATGCTCAAAATAGAAAGAATAGTAAATCTTTTAGCTTGGTATATAAAGGGCCTAATAAACAAAACGAGCGACTGGTATTTAATATTATGGTATAACTTTGAAATTGAATTTTGAGAACAGTGAAGGGGAAAAAATGAATAGGAAAGATGAAGAGAAATCTAGAGAGTGTAGAGACTGAATACCTGGTCAATCATGGAAACATTAGATAATTGGGTCTTTGCGTCTTTGGGCGAAATAATGATTAGAAGAGAGGGGGTTTTATTTGATTTTAATTCGTTTGCATCACATGAAATGATTCAATTACGAGGTCTCATAAATGAAAACGGAGCTATCGGACGAAAAGGTAAGATCTTACATATCTACGGAGTAGGACATTGGCACATTCCATCTTTTCTCTCGTCAACAATAACAACCTTTGTGGGTATGGATGGAAATTACTAGAGTTACTGCTGCGTGTGTTGCGTGGGTAGATAGAATTGTCATTAGGTGTCAACTCATTTTACTACATTACTACCTCCCTCCCTCCCTCTAATCAATCGGAACTTCTATCCCGTCGACCAAAGAATATCTATCTTTGTTGAGAATTCTACCCTTTTAATACTTGTCTTGGCTGACTACTTACTTACATGTACGCGTCATTTTATCACGAAGGTGTAAGTTTACTGTGCAGTAGTCTATGAAACATCGGATTCTAACCTCAACAAGCGCTGACAAAGGGTTGAAATAAGTTGCTTATAGGTAAGATAGATTGTTGGATGCTTGGAAAGTTTGAAGGTCCCTAGGCCAGAGGGATAATACGAGATCCTGATTGCCGAGTTGTGGTTTAATTGGTTATCATTAAACTGTCACGACTATGCAGGCGGCTCTCTCTCTCGCTCAGCTATCGGGATTTCACAAAATGATTGGAAATGGCGCATCTATCAAAAGTATGAGATATTTCTACGAACATCTATAAGAAGATTCAATACCTTTAATGTCTCCAATATCCCCAATATCTCCCGGTATCTCCCAATGTCTCCAATCTTATGAAACATCAGAGTTATCAAACTATTTTGAATCATATGCAAGGCTCTTATGGAAGAAGTTCATTAACTTCCAATCAATGTCCGAGATAACTTCTTTCTTGCGCTTACCGAAAATACGAAGAAATTTATCCATTTTTTTCCGGACGGATATCAAACATGCCTGTGGTGATCATTCTTTTTGGCTTGACAATGCAAATTTGAGAAACCAAAGTCAGCCGAATTCTCCGGATATGCAAGATTATGTTGAAAAGAAAGCCGTAATAGCCTTGACATCTCGTCTACACGATGCAGGTCAGATCAGTAAGGTAAGGTCCGGTCAGGTCAGATCAGATCAGGTATGCAGATTTCCCCTCCGCCAATTCAATGTCATGTAAGTAAGTACCTACATAGCAGTACTATACATAGGTATCTTTGCATCGATGTAACACTAAACAATCAGTAAAAGGTCACATTTCACGATATCAACTGGACCATTCCTTATTTTCCATCTTCATGACCTTCACCCACTCTTGATTAACCTTCTTGATTGACCTTTAGAATAGAACCCATGAACCTTGTGTTCTCCACAATGTCACAATCCACAACTTTATTCAGCCTTAAGAAAATCTATAATTTGTACACTTAGTCACGTGTCTTGTACCCGATTCGTTATCGTTGTTGGTCAATTGCATAATGAAAGTTCTTATCGTCTAAGCACTGTTTTGTTGGGTAATTTCTCGACTTTTAAATCAGACTACTTTCATGAATTCGGCCACGAGGTAGTTTTGAAACCTCTGCACATCGATCACGACGCTGTGATGAGGAGGTCGGTTTGTCGAACACAAATTGCGCAAGCTATACATAATCAATCTCGTCGTACTCTTGTACATAGTTCTCCCAGATGGCACCCTGAATTGGCATATTCCACATCTGCGGATGTCGAATTACCGCCATTTCGGAAAGAAACCCGTCCTTTCAAATTCGAAACTGGACTTGCACTCTTTGCCAAACGAAAACCACGACCCTTTCCTCCTCCATTTCTATCCCCGCCGTCCGGATCCTTCTCGGATCCCTTGAGTACACACCACAGGAGTCGCGATAGGAGACCTTCGGTGAACGGTGAGGTAATTAGAGGTTATACCAATGGTGATGATGCGGTCTACTCTAGTGATTACTTTATTGGCGCAAATGATGGTGTTGGCGCCTGGTCAACCAGAGAAGGCGGCCATGCAGGGTTAGTGGCTCTCCGACATGATGATTTGCTTTTGGAGGCTAATAAATAGCAGTTTGTGGTCGAGACTAGTATTACATTTTTGGGCTTTGGAAGTAGAAAACGATGCACGGAGATCTCGACCAGCAGGGCAATACTTTGAGCCGAATCCTATTGATTATCTACAAAAAGCATACGAGCAAACTATTCAAGCTACTGCGAGTCCGAACAAATGGCAGGGCACAACTACAGCTACCGGAGCACAATTGCATTATAAAATCGATCATTCAGACCCTAATGCGCCCGCTACTCCCCTCTTATATGTTACCAACATTGGCGATTCACAAGTACTAGTCATAAGACCGAAACAGCAGGAACGTATATTCAAAACTACAGAGCAATGGCATTGGTTTGACTGTCCTCGGCAACTCGGTACAAATAGTCCTGATACACCCGTCAATAATGCTGTCATGGATAAGGTTGAGATTGAGGAGGACGATGTCGTTCTTGCCATGTCTGATGGCGTTATTGACAATCTATGGGAGCATGAAATAATTGAAAGTGTCGTAAGCAGTATCCGCAAGTGGGAGCAAGGTGAGGGTGGTATAAGTACTAGTGATCGACAAGGTGGAGCTGGTGGTGGAATGAGGTTTGTAGCGGATGAACTCATGAAAGCCGCGAAAGTAATAGCACAGGATCCCTTCGCGGAGAGCCCCTTCATGGAGCATGCGGTCGAGGAAGGTCTTGCTATGGAAGGAGGTAAGTTGACGAAGACTGATGATCATGACATTTACTAACTCAAGGTCAGGCAAGCTAGATGATATAAGTGTAGTTGCAGCGTTGTGTAAACGCAGCAACGAGTGAAGTAAGGCCGTGGTACGGCTCAATTGAGGTATATAAGATATGGCCTCGGAACTAAAGTGATTGGAAGCGTTCCTTTGATAGCTTCCCGCGCCAAGAGGCACATAGAGACAATAACATTGTCAAGGAGGAGGAGAATACGAAAGAGGCAATCTTTCCTGAAGACTCCTACTCACAAGTGATGGAATGACATGAGGTGGACATAATAACTTGCGAGGAATCCAGGCGTAAATACCATCTATGTAATGGGGGCAATTATCTGGGTAGCATATAGACATCTTTAATAATCATACAATATCAAGCACAAACCTTGAATTCACTAGCTAGATTTGGTTCTAGACTTTCTGGCCGGTAGTGAGTAGGGTTTTTTTTCATCGAGCTAACGATCCTAGTTCACGATAGACAATCCTTATCAGCTACTGTAACCTTAAATTTATCCGATAAAAAAAATATCAAATCTCTACCTACCCAGGTATCCATCACATCCCTTACAATTACAAACATTGAATCAATCGACTTTTGACCTATCTTGTCACACTCAAAAACATGCGAGGAAAGAGGGCGAAACAATACAAAAAGCTCATGCAACAATATGGCATGAGCTTCGGTTTCCGCGAGGCATATCAAGTTCTTCGTGAGCTCCCCAATTTTGCGCATCAGTACAAACATCCGTTTTCAATGACTGACTTTCTATCCCTACAGTTGACGCTGAGATCATTAAGGATGCCGATAGATTTAAAATGGACCTGGTCGGCGGTTTAGAGCGAACACTTCATGGCCAAGTTAAGCCCAGTATGTTCACTCATCTCTATCTCTTGTCGCATTAATTGCTAACATGTTTTAGTGATTACACAGTGCTCAATGCGCCATCTATACGCTGCTTCATCAGAACCTGGAGTATCATATCTCATCGATAAAGCTAAAACGTACGAGCGACGCCGCTGTGGTCACCTTCCAGAAGATTATCCCGAACCTCTTTCCGCCCACGATTGTATCAAAGCAGTAGTTGACGGCAAAGGCAATGGAACCAACAAGCACAGATACGTGGTGGCAAGTCAAGATATAGAAGTCAGGAAAGCTATGAGGGCAATTCAGGGTGTGCCTTTGGTTTATATCAATAGGAGTGTTATGATTATGGAACCTATGGCAGGAACATCTACAGAAGTAAGGGAAAGGGAAGAAAGATCGAAATTTAGACAAGGCATAAAGTCAGGAAGAGCTTCAGGAAGTCTCAAGAGGAAGAGAAATGAAGGCGATGAGGACGATGACGAAGAATTGGCAAGGAAGGACATGGGTGTGACAGAAGGTGTTGCGAAAAAGAAGAAAAATGCTCCAGGACCCAAAGGACCGAATCCATTAGCAATGAAGAAGAAAAAGAAGGTTGAGGGGGATAACATGAAACCCAATGCGTCAAGTAAATTGGCCGATGCAAATGGTACGGAAGCAGATGGTTCAGAACCTGTCAAGCGGAAACGAAAACGTCTACACTCGAAGAAAAAGTCGGAGGATGTAGCTGATGGAGAAACGGTAAAATCAAGTGAGAAGATGGATGAAGCAGATTGATAAGAAAGATAATATCAAGGTTAAAGGATTTTATCGAGTAGGAAGTTACATATAAATTAATCACAAGTATACTCGGAAAGAATGATACCCAAATAGATGGACTTTAGCTGTATGATTGGTTATTTGCTGTCTGGTGTTGGAATTTAACAAAGAATCGCCAAGCACGATGTTGCGATTCCGAATCATCATGACCGACCCCCTGGATTAACCTTACGCCTTCAGTAGAAACAAAGAAAAACAGCCCTCAAATTCCTTATCAAGTAAAAGTCGAATCTATTTAAAGTGTAGCAAATAACTCCTTATCACTCTTTACCTATTTAATCTTCACGGCCCTTGAGCCTCTTAAATCATTACTGTACCGTTAAGGAGCACGCACCAATCGTTTACTGATCTTATTCACTGGTATCACTACCAAATCCTTGTCGGCTTAGGACCGTCTGTGTACAAGTGCGTACGAAGCACAGAGCATCGACCTCGGAAACACCTTCGTGCTTCAGAATCCATGGATCTGCGCAAGAACACATTTAAGATTTTAACAACAAATGTCTAAGTGACATTAGATGATTTATCTGTTAGAGACACCACCTGCCCTGTGAGTCAAGGTGGTGGTCGAAGTGCTAGAAACAATATGCCACAGAGTGATGAGACCACTACAAGTGCTAAGGAAAATGGCAATGTGGGACCGGGTACAGCTGTCCAACATGGACCTCCGGAACTTGATGATTTTGGATTGCCCCTCAAGAAGAGAGTTGTTCCAGAACCGGTAGCATATGATGTTGAACCGGAGAGCGC